TGCCGAGAAGGAACAAAAGAATGGAAAAGATGGCCTGAGGGCACCACAAACAGCAAGTCTCAGCCTCAAAACTGCAAAGGTGAAAGACCTTGCCTTGAGAAGGAAGCTGCAGAGCGCCATGTTCCAGAATGGTGGCAGCATAGAGAATCTGCTCCTCAGAATGGGATTCAGAGTGCCCAACGATCCAGGCACTTGACCACTATGACCAAGAGAAAGGAAAGCTGGGCTACTGCTCCAGGTGGCAGCAGACTTTGGCATCATCCATGTGGCCCTGGCTTTAGGTGCATGGAGAATGCAAGAGTTCTGAGGTTAAAGAGGCTTCCACCCAGATTTCAAAAGAAGGCCTGGGAGGCCAGGCAGTGTGCCCTGAGAGGGCAGTGTGTGAGGCTGTGAGTGTGAAGCAAAAGGTGCATTGGAGACCTTGGAAGTTTAGAAAAACCAAGACCGTGGATCATCTAAGGAAAGCTGCAAGGAGGGAGCAAAGCAGGCCTAAGAGAGAAGCCAGTGGAAGCTGTAACCATCAGACGTGCCATAGGGGTGGACTCATGCAAACCCTTTGGAGCTCACAGTGTGCCATAGATTGCTTCAGATGCTGCAGGACAGAACTTTAGCCCTGTTGGATTTTGGACTTACTTTGGTCCCAATACTCTGTATCTCCCTGTTTGTACCTTTTGGAATGGTACTGCTTGTTTTGTGCCATTGAATGTTGGAAGTGTTTAACTTTTCATTTGTATGGGGGCTTGTAACTAAAGAGTTTGCCTTACATTTCCGAGGAGACTTGGGACTTGGACTTTTCAGCAATGCTGCAACTGTTACGACTTTGGCAACTCTTGCAGACGGACTAAATGCTTTTGCACAAAGGGATGTGCATGAGTCTTTAGGGGGTGAAATGTTATTGTTCTAATGGAATATAATGTCTTTGTACCTGGAAACTGGTTTAAAGAAATGTGTCTGGTTGCCAAGTTGACAAGGGATGGACTGTTATGATTGATACATTGTGTCAACTTGGGGAGTCTAGAGGTTTGGCTAAGTGACTCAGCAGGAAGCCAGGGTGCTTACTTTGTATACATCCTGAGCCTGTGGAAGCCAGGGCATGGAGATTATGTGAGAGCTACTCACTCCCTTGGAAGCGGGTAGCCTGTTTACAATGTAAGGCAGGGAAAGAAGCTGCTGGCCGCCATTCCTCCCTTTTGCTCTGGCTGTTTGCTGTTCAGCTGCCATTCCCCCTTTGCTCTTGTTACTTTGCTATTTTCTGCCTTGGAGCCAGAAAGTACGGACTGAAACCTCCACAAACTATGAGCTAAATAAACCTTTCCTTCCTTAATTTTGGGCATTGGGTACTTTGTCTCAGCAACGAGAGAAAAGTAGCCAAGACATTTTAAGCAAATTCTCCGGACAGAGAGTGCCGTGTACACTGAGAACCACTGGCTCAGAGAGCCACAGACAACAGAGCTGAGAGTCAGTCCCGAGTTTTCCATCTTATATTAGGTACTTTTTCTTCTACATAGCATGAACAAAAACAAGTGGCTGTCTTCAAAAATGCCAAGCAAATGTTTTCAAAGAACACTGGTATTTCAACAAGGTTGGGCAGATGAGTAGAGAGAATGGAAGTGCTCATCCAGACCCTGCTGGGGTGTTTTAGACAAGGGCCTCCAGACAGATACTGTGTGTGTGTGTGTGTGTGTGTGCGCGTGCGCGCGCGCACACACACACATAGACGTGGAGAAGGAGGGTGGGTAGTGGTCCAGATGTGTCTCACTCTTCTAGAGTTCGTCTTGTTATCCTTGGGTTACTCACCCGCTAGCCTGAGTGGATATGTTAAGCTTTTAGTGGTTTTAGTGGTTTGCAATAAAAATGCCTCCCATATCAAGAGCTGAGGTCTTGAAGCGGAAGTGCTGCTGTGCGTTAGCTCAGAGTTCCAGACATGCAGGCGTGGAGGTCATAAAAACCGGCTGTAGAAGAGGAGGTGATGCAGAGCTGCTTCCCAGAAAGGTACCTCACCCAAGAGAGCAGATGGAGCACACATCAGCAGGTGCGCAGGTCCAGGGGCCTTCGCCAAGACCGAGGGCATAAGATGCTCTGTCCGAGGCCAGTGAGCGGCAGAGGCAGTGGTGGGCCTGGACACACCAACCCCCCCAGGCTGCAATATCACACCAGCTTCCCTTCTTCAGGATTCTAGCCTGGTGAGCAGGGGTGCAAGCTCAGAATCCCAGCACTAGGGAGGCTGCGGCAGGAGGATTGCTGCGAGCTCGAGGCCAGACTGGGCTACCTAGTGAGGTCACAGCCAGACTGAGCTACAATAGGGAGACCCTGTCATAAAAAATCCAAAAACCAAAACAAGACAAAAAACCACGTTTGAAAAGCAACCGGTCAGGGAGTAATCTTACTATTTTAGTGGTTTATTTTAAATTCTAAGGCACATATTGGATCTAGAAAGCTACAAACCCCTGCACCAGGTGCGTGTCGGTGAAACTTTCTGCACGCCGGGCTTTCAGGAATCTGGACCACTTGGGGGAGGCGCTCAGCGGGAATGCGGGGCAACCCCTGCCGTCTGAACTTGCGCTGGCTCCGGCCTAGACTTGCCCTACTCCACAGAAGCGGCAGGACCAGGAACCGAAGTACCCGCCCACTTAGACGAGAAAGTCTGTGGTGATAAATTATGAAACTTAAAAAGCCTGCAGGTAACCACAGACATTAAAATACAGGCAAATACTACTTGTCAGAGCTGCATGAGCTACTGCTCTATTTTCGTTTTTTTTTTGTTTTTTTTTTTGTTTTTTTTGGGGGGGTTTTTCTCCGGTACCAGGAACCGAACTCACGACCTTGCGCTTGCCAAGCAGGCGCTTTTGCCGCTGAGCTAAATCCCCAGCCCTACTGCTCTATTTTCCGTTTCTGATTTTATGCTTTTTGATTCACTCTTCATTTGATAACGATTGTGTAATGCATTTTGAGGATAAACAAAATGGTGTTTCTTCTAGAATGGCTAATGAAAAATGTTTCACTTATTATTGAAAGTTTAGAAAAGTTGTTTTGCATGTTAAAATTGTTACTGGTAATGACATTAAGTTTTGTTAATTTGGGGAGCCGAAGATTTTAGGGCTTTTCAAGCCTTGTGGGCAGTGACTCTGCTCTTGTTATAAAGATGGATTATGGGGCTTTCTTTGCAGATGCCAGTAATTTATGACAAACCAACACAAATATTTAATAGTTTTAATGTGTTCATATAGTTCATCCTTCATTAATTGCTAAGTGTGGTGGCACAAGCCTGTGATCCCAGCACTCAGAGGCTGAGGCAGGAGGATCACTGCAAGTTTGAGACCAGCCTAGGCTACAAAGTGAGCTCAAGGCCACCCTGAACTGCACAACGAGGCCCTGTCTCAAAAAGACAGACAGACAGACAGACAGAAAGAAAGAAGAAAAGAAGAAAAAGAAACACAAGGTGGTCTGGGGATGTAGCCCAGTTTGAAGGTCCCTGGCTCAATCCCGAAAGTGTCAGAGTAACTTCTGTGGAATTGTTGTAGAAATGTGTGAAAACAGCTGTAATCATGATGGATGTGTAATCGGAAACGTTCCACGACTGAGTATACTCCTGCGGAAGAGAGCGTCTGTCTGACTGTGCATCGATGGGACTGAACCCTATGACTCCACATCCAGGCCTGGTAGGACCCATGGCTCCAGCCATGGTCCACAGAGGCCTGTGCTCTGCCTGCTCCTGCCTGCCTCCCTGCACTTTGGCCCCTGCTGTCAGGTGAATTGTCTCACAGTTGGCAGATTGTTCCAGAAGCCATTTCCACACAGAGACCTAATTACACAGGGAAGTGTTTGCAAACACATCTCAGTGAACCTAAACCATGGGAGCACAGCTCACTTGCCCTTGGCCGATGCCCCAAACACCAGCTGACTGACAGAAGTGTGAGTGGAGAAGGACAGAAATCCTGCCATAGTGATGATGTGTCAGTGGACACCCTACTGGGCCATCCCAGGCCTCCACGGGTGTCCCTCTGCCTGGCTACTGCCTCAGGGTGTCCTGGGCCTTCTTTGCCAGGGTCCCCTCAGCCAACTCACACTCGCCTCACTAACATCACCCTGGCCTTTGCTTCCTCCTGTCGTTCTTTGGCTTGGTGAGTTGGGTTTGGAAACGCTCACATTCCCATTACCAGAAAGTGTGGAATTGTGTGACCGTGACTTCGTGGACACAGGTGCGTCTGGCTTACCACTTGGAGTGCGTCAGCCCCTCTCACGAGGTCTGCTCGGGTGGGTCCAGCCCTGTCCGTGACCTCCAGGGCCGAGAGGTCCCCAGGGCCATCCGGCAGTGCTTCCCAGGAGCAGGCCTTCTGTCGGACTGTAAACCAGGGCACTGTGCCAAGCTGGCGAATGCCTAAGTGCCTCAGTCTATTTCAGGCTAGTAGGGTTTCATTTATCTTTGTTTTGTGGTGAGAACATTTGAAATCTACCAGCAGCATTTTCTAAGAATAAAGAATATTGCTGCTGGCTCCAGGGATCATGAGTAGGAGCGACTCCCAGAACTCAGTCCTGTCTCATTGAAGTTTTGTGTCTTTTGATCGATCCCCCACCGTGCTGCTCTACCCAGGGGGCTGGTAACCATCACCTGCCCTCACATTGCATTCTGCTTCTTGCAGTTCCACTCTGTTGTCAGCACTGGGGATTGAACCCAAGGCCTTGAACTATATTACCAGCCCTTTTAAAAGTTACTTATTTTGAGATAGCATCTCACAAAATTCCCCAGGTGGGACTCAGATTTGTGCTCCTCCTGCCTCAGCAGGAGTGCACCACCACTGAGCACCACCACACCAGGCCACACTGCCAGTTTTTAAACCACCACTTACAAAACTGCTCTCAGGCCATGGCAGCAGGAGCCTACCTTCCAGAATGAAGAGAAGAAGCCTGTGTCATCTGGAGGGACAGTACCCTTGCTGTCTATGCTGAAATCACTGCCAAAACACTCCACTAAGGTGTTTTCCCCTTTCTTTTGTTGGCAGAATGGTGGATAATCCAGGCAGGAATGATTTTCAGGGGAGGCTGGACTTGAGGCAGTGATGGACATCAAGGATGCACAGGGATCTGAGCTCAGTGTGGAGATCAACCAGGAGCAAGGAGCGATGACACTGGGGCTCAGGGAGCGTCCAGGCCTGCTTAGCCACAGCAGCATGAGGAGGAGCCACCGTCTGAACCTGAGCCTGAAGCTCATCTAGGACCTCACCACTCCGGAGGGAGCAGACTGTGGGCTCCGGTGGTCAGAGAAGACACCGACCTTGCAGAGGGGTCTCCAGGAGGGGACGACCGAGGCCTAGGTGTCAGGTTCCGGTTTGGATGTGAATTGAGCAAAGATCCCTGCAATTTAAGCTTAGGGTCGTCAGTCTACATTTAAAAACTCAGAGACTCTGCAAAGAATTCTGACGCTTATCTGAGGGGAGCGTTGAATAGGAACAGCGCCATGGCAGACTGCACACAGGCTGCAGGTCAGAGCATTTTTAAATACAAAAGTGAGGATTAACGCTTTCCTGTCTTTCTGTATGTCTGTCTGTCCATGTGTCTGTCTGTGTTTCTTTTTTGTTTGTTTGTTTGGGTGTTTTGGTCATTTTTGAGGCAAGGTCTCATGTTGCAGTTCAGGCTGTCCTTGAGCTCACTTTGTCACCCAGGCTAGTCTTGAACTTGCAATGATCCTCCTGCCTCAGCCTTTTGAGTGCTGGGACTTCAGGTGTGTGCCACCACGCCCAGCTCAACAAAACACATTTTAATTCTTATGTGCACTTCCCCTCCTGTCCCATCTCTTGGTTCCCCTTTCTCTATTTTTTTTTTTTTTTTTTAAGAAAGGATCTTGGGGGCTGGGGATTTAGCTCAGCGGCAAAAGCGCCTGCCTGGCAAGCGCAAGGTCGTGAGTTCGGTTCCTGGTACCGGAGAAAAACCAAAAAAAAAAAAAAAAAAAAGAAAGGATCTTGTTAAATTGCCTAGGCTGGGTTTAAATTGCCCACTCAGCCTCCCCGAGTGCTGGGATTACAGGTGTGCGCCACCACACCTGAGTTATCTTTCTGCTTATGATTTATGAATGTCTCCTTTTACTTTCTTTCTTTTTTTTTTTTCCTTTTCTGGTCCCGGGAATCGAACTCATGACCTTGCACTTGCTGGACAGGTGCAGTGCTGCTGAGGTAAATCCCCAGCCCCAAAATGAATGTTCTCTGTATTTGTGGATGGTGTGGGGTGATTTCCGAAAGATATTCTTTTTTTTTTTTTTGGTACCGGGAATCGAACTCAGGACCTTGCACTTGCCAGGCAGGTGCTTGTGCCGCAGAGCTACATCCCCGGCTCTCTCCCCTTACTTTGGAGCATCTTTCCCATTCTTAAGCACACATAAATATTCTCATACATTTTATTGTGATATCTTATTGTTTCCTCTTTTATAAAACATATTTTCAAAAGATTTTTATGTAAGTCTTGGTCAATACTGTGATAAGTAGATCTGGCTTCTGAAAATGCTTCAAAACATCAGATCAATTATGCCAATGTCATTTATTAGGTAACCACCTTTCCTGCACCGACTTTAATGCCACTTTCGTCACACGGTGAGTGCCCATGCATACTTGGGCTCGGTGCTGGTTTCTGTTGCAGTCACCAAAAGGCTCTATTTGTCCGCTGCTGTTCTAGCTCCACATTTACTGCAGTGGTTTTGTGGTCATATTTTAAAAGGCAAAGCCTTTTTCCTCCTCCCCTTGTTTTTCGTAGCCATTGTTAAATGTGAATTCTTCCATGTGAACCTAACGTGACCTGATGACCACCCGCAGATGTCGGCGACCCAGCCTGGCCCATCCTTGCCATTGTAGACCACAAGGGCCACACCGCCGTCTGCTTTTGTGGCATCACAGAGCACCCGGCTGCCAGTGTCCACTCTATGGCTGTACCACAGCCATCGAACTCGCCTGCAAGAAGCGGGAGCCGACGACCTCTGTCACCGCGGGCTGCTGCTGGGCTCAGGCGGGAGTTTGCCAGCGCCCTTCCCGCACTGGAGGCCACCTGGACTTCACCACCCCACCCCTCAACCCCCCACCCCAGGCACGAAGCGGAGTGGGCCGGACCCCCAGCTGGGTGGCAGATATGGGCTTTGGAGGCCACAGGGTGTGGCCGGGTGACAGAGGCACATGCGGAGGCCTGCTGGCAGTGCAGGTGGCTAACTACTGGGCCAGGTCCAGCAGGGACCTGGGGGCCGGGGGACACCTCCTGAGACAAGCCAGCCTGGACGCTTCCAGCACCTGAGGGGTGACATGGGGACCCCTCGGATCTAGCCACCCTCCCCCGCCAGCTGCCCTCACCACCTCCAAGTTCCTCACCGAGCCCTTGCTGGCCCCCCACCCCCCTGCTCTCCTCTTCCCGCCAAGGGCACTGTTGTCTGGGCCTCTCCCACCAGTGACCTGGCTGCCGGGCCCCTGACGTGAGAGGTAGGCTCCTTCGAGGCTGGGAAACCCCTGCCCCGCCCCCCATGACCACATCATATGCAGTGCCCTGGATTACAGTGCACTTTGACCACCTCTTGGGAAGACACCCCCTGGGCGGGTCCTGCTGGCCAAGGCTCTCAGGGCTGATTCCCTGCAGTCTGAGGTGTGGGATGCAGAGGAGGGAGCTGAGGCCACAGCCCTGTCTCGATGGGGATCCCCCAGCCTCCATCACTCCCAGGTCCCTGCCTGCCACCCCGGGCCTGTCAGAGTGGGGCCCTCTCCCCCAGGCTTGCGTGTGGTGCTGCCCTACGGAGCCCACAGCTGCTGCTTCCTGTTTTCTTTTTAAACAGCTACACTCTGCCTCTGTGAAGGTCGCTGTGGTCCATACGTTTCTCTGTCCCCCTCTGGATTGTGCTCAGATTGAGTCCTCAGGGGTCTTTATCTGGTCAGGCTGAAATCCTTCCGCTGGCTCCTGACTCTTCAGTGGCAGGAGGGTGGCTGCTGAGAATGGGAGCCCAGCCAAGGACTGCGCCAGGAGAGCCAAGGTCTGTGTCCGGTACACCTGCCCTCTGTGAAGTGTCCACATTATAGCTGTGAGTCCTGTGTTTTCAGGACAGGCAGAGAGAGAGACTGAGAGAGACAGAGACAGGCTGAGGCAGGAGGATTGCCACGAGTCCAAGCCTGGCCTGGGCTTGGTAGTGAGTTCAAGGTCAGCCTCAACCCCAGGAAGACCCGTAGGGGGGAGGGACAGGATTCATGACAAGGGCTGGGAAGTCTTGGCCTATTGGGGCGCTGGGCAGCCGTCCTTGGCCATTTCTCTGCAGCGGATGCACCCGTGCAGCAGGGGTCTTGGCCTGCTGTCCTGTCTGTCACTCCCTTTGGAGCCAGCTCTAGGTCTGTGGGCCTTGCCTGAGGCCTGAACTGGGTTTCTGACTCATAGGTGCGTGTCGTGGCCATTTCAGCAACAGAAACCGCTTGTTTACCTTCTGTGTTCCACTGACATGGACAAATAAAGCCAACACCGAAAAAACTGAAAAAAAGAATATGTTTTCCTGAGAAACTGTCTTGTAGATAACAATATGTAAAACAATGATGACTGATAATTTCCTACCACTTTGTCTGTAATTTGGTAATCCCCCCATTATTATGTTATCCTTCTTTTACTCTTTAAAATAAAAAAATAAAAGAAACAAAAAACGAGGATTACATCAGATATTACAAATAATTTTTGCCACATTGGTTAATAACAAAAGTGATGTCCATCCAAGTTTGGGCAGATAATAGGTTAATGTCCTCATAGAAGTACTTTTTTGCATAGGCATGTGTGGGGAAGCATGCCTATAATCCCAGTGCTCCGGAAGCTGAGGCAGGAGGATTGCTGCAAGTTCAAGGTCCTCCTGGGCTACCAAGTGAGTTCAAGGCCAGCCTGAACTACATAGTAAAACCCGGTCTCAGAAAGACAAAAAAAAAGATGGAGAGAGAAAAACTATTTGAACAACTGAACACTAAATGCATGGTGTTTTGTTTTTCTCCTCACACCAGCTAATTTCCCAACTGTCTGACATAACTAAGTGTCCTGTAATTTTGCTCAGTTCTAACACGGCTACTGCAGCAGTGCTGATCCCAAGCAACTGGCTCCCTGCACTTCAGGCTGACTTCACTAGGAACTGGGAGTCCCTCCCGAGGCTTAGTGATTTGCTACACTGGTTAGGAGTTCAATAAAGGGCACACAAATGCACAGCCTGATGAAGAGGTACCCAGGCGCGACCTGTAGGGGTCCCAAGCACAGGGGCTTCTGTCCTGTGCAGTCTGGGGTGCAACACCCTGTGAGCTTGTGGGCACATTTAAACTGGGAATAGCCTTTGAACCCTTTGGTTTAGGGTTTTTATGGAGAATCCAGTATCCAGGGTTGATGGATTAAGTCGTCAGCCTCAGGTGACAGCCAAGTCCGGGCTCTTCTCAGGGTGTCTGGGCAGCTGTAAGTCCCATCCCCCGTGGCGTGGCCGGTTCTTCTGTCAGCCAGCGCCCACCCTCTAGGAGTCACCAAGTTTGGATGAACTGAGGTGCACTGGAAGGCAGCTTGTCTGAATGTGGAAAGATGCACCTAACACCAGGAACTCCAAAGACTGCAGGGGCTCCGGGCCTGTGACTGGGGACCGTACACAACATCATGGAACCCCAGGGCCCCACAGTAAACAGTGGCAAAGCGGGATTGAGGGAAGGGTATGAAGGGAGATTTCCAAGAACTTCAGCCCCTAAAAGCCGCAATGGGCAGCCCTCGTTAGTGGTGGCCCCCCGGGGACCCACCCAGTGTCAGTGCTGAGACCAGCCCGACAGGGAACTGGAGGACAGCGGGGCGGGCGGCCACGGCCTGGTCACCCATTTGTGTTGCCGCTGGGCCCTGAAGATCCACAGCTGGGGTCTGGGGCCTCGCTCTGTGACTCAGTGCTTAGTTCCTGCCCTGTCTGCATTAAGGCGCCAAGACTTTTCTCTCTCCTGCGAGCAAAGAAGCCACACCCTGTGACAGCCAAAGTCCGCTCACCTTCCAGTTACCTTAGATCATGGGAACATGGGCTTTTCCTGGTAGTCAGGGCTTCTAAGATAGCACGGGTCTCCCCACCTCTCCCTTAGTTTTATGACACATGCACATATATAATTGGCACAATTTAAGGAGAACCATTCACCTACTGGCCTTCTCCTCGCATCTGGAGCCCGAGAAAATGACCTGACGTGGAAAAAGAGAAACTGAGGTGGGATAAGAAGAGAACTTTTCTGGGAGTGGCATCAGGCAACAAACGCAGGCCGAGGCATCCGGAGGGGGTCCACGGTATGTGAGAACATGGGAGGGGTGCTTCCTTCTCCGGGTCACCTTTGAAGATGTGAAAGGGGTTCTCTGTCACTGTGGAATCTGTATACCCCTGGAAAGGGTGTTGGTTAGGAAATCACTCACGGCCGGACAGCAGACAGCGTGCTAGGTGGTTGGCAGTAATAACCTAGAGCAGGAAGCCGTCTGGAACGACTCCTGCCGAGCTCAACCAAGAGCAAATCAAGAGACTTTCACCTTGTGAGCTGTGATGGTTTTGCCTCTGGCCATGCTAACTTCCTTTTAACTTTTTTTTTTTTTTTTTGGTTTTGGTTTTTCTCCGGTACCAGGAACCGAACTCACGACCTTGCGCTTGCCAGGCAGGCGCTTTGCCGCTGAGCTAAATCCCCAGCCCCCCTTTTAACTTTGAATTGTAAAACTTATCACAGAAATCTCTCAAGAGGAAACCAGAATTGGTTTTCTTATCTCTGGCTCTGTGCAAGTGTATGAAAAATAGTGACTTCAAGTTTAGCAAATACAGGGAAACTGTGGGGGCCATGGCCAGCCACTGAGATGTTTCTGACCCTGACGCAGAGTCGCAGCATCGCAGCCTCTGCTGCCCAGCTCAGTGGCGTCCTCTAGGCCTCTTGGGGCAGCTCTCTCTGCCCAGCCACCTCAGGCTGTCAGTGTGGCTTCAGAAGGGCCAGCGGGAGGCCGCCAGGCTGACCAGATGCCATGGAGGAGGAGAGCCTGGAGGAGGGAGTCTGCGCCATTTGTCAGGACCTCCTGAAGGAGGCTGTGAGCGCGGACTGTGGACACCTCTTCTGTCGTGCGTGCCTGACCCAGCACGTGCAGAAGGCTTCTGGGGACCTCTGCTGCCCGCTCTGCCGGAAGCCCTGTTCCGAGGGGGTGCTGGGGGAAGGCTACCTCTGCCACAGCCACCAAAAGAGGGTATGCTGGTTCTGCGAGGAGAGCAAGCTCTTTCTGTGTGTGGAATGTCTGGAGTCCCCTGAGCACCAGCCTCACCCAGAGCCCACCATTGAGAACGCCATCAGCCACTACAAGGTAAGGTGAGAGCCCCCGCTGCCTCTAACTCCTCCCTACTCCTGGCTCCGCAGAGAGGCCTCAGCCCCCACACCTTCGTTTCTTCTGCTCCATCCCACTCTGCATCTGTGTTTGTTTCTCTGTGTATATTTTGCTACCGATGTTGGGGTTTCAGTGTCTGACCCGGGGCACTGAAAGGTGGCGCAGCCCCTGGACCACCCTGCTCCTCTGCACAATGAAGTGGGGCTGGGTCGTCCAAGAGCACATGCTCCGACGGTGCTGGGACTTGACTAGAAGTGCAGTCAGATTTCACCTAAGTCAGCAATGATGCTGTACATATATATCAAAACCTGGAAATTACTATATGATTCTGTTCTTATTTTCCCTTCATCTTTTCTTTCCATAGTCTTCTTTCTATCATAATTATTTTTATCTCATTTAATTTTTTCTCATAAAAGTGTCAAGCAGTTGGAAGTCAGTTCCGACGGTGAAATGTATACCATCAAAACTAAAAATCTCTCTGTTCTATGCTCAGTCCCAAGAAGTAACTCTGACTAGACTGTTGTATTCTTCCAGAAAATTGTGTGTGAAGATACTCATACACACGCGGTTCTCTACCCTTTTCTGTAACTTTTCTCATCTAAAAATATGTTTGGGACATTTTACCCATTTTCATCAGTACATCCAAACCCTCTGAATTCCTTTCAACAACTGAATGATGTTCAGTTTTACAAAAGTACCATAAATTGGCAACACATTGTGTTATTTCCAAATTATTGTTTTACTTTGAGATTACACAGAATATTGCAATGAGTAACTTTCAACATGTATTTTGGAGAACTTAGAATATCAAAGGCACATTTTGGTGAAAGTGTAAGGTAGGAATCTAATTTTATTTTTTCCATGTTATGGTCAACCTGTCTTATCACCATTTATTGAATATTCTGTAAAGTTTCCCCACTGGCCTGAATACCAACTTCATAATATGCTGTTAAACATATGTACTTGTTTATTTTCTTGAATCTATTCTATTATTTTATCCTGGTCTATATCTCAAATCATTTTAAATATTGTACCTCTGCTATAATTTCTTATTTTTAATGTTTACATAAGTGATATAAATGTCAAATAGGTTTATAACATTCATAAGGAAAAACAATACAAAATCTTTTTTAATACAAAATCTTTATGATAAACAAAATTACTGCATTTAAAGTGATTTCTTGAAGACCCAGATCTGTACATTCATTACCGTCACACTCAGTATAAATAATACTCACTCTAGTCAGAGGGAACACATGCCAACACCAACCTCAGACAATAGAAAGACAAAGCCCTACAACTTGTTTAATTTAAGGCAGGAAATTACGGAGACAAAATAATATTAAAATTACTTATTGTATAATTTTGCAATTGAAAGAATGTATAATAGACATCAGAGTTCATTTCCACCACAAATACCTGTTCATTTAGCTAGAAGACTAGCTCAAGTGGTATTAGTACATTCTGTTTGTAATAATTTCTCTATAACAAGGAACTGTTTAAGGAAAACATTACCTCTTAAATCCATTTTTGTTTTGACTCAGTCACTAAGAGGCCAAGGTTTTGGGAGAACCCCAGGGTCCTGATGAATGCACCCATGTCAAGCAGTGGGACTGTGTTCCGAAAGTGCCCCTCAGCCAGGGAGCGCCGCCTGGCTTCAGAGCCCAGGCTTCCGCGGCTCTGCTTGGGGCATTCGAGGAGCTGTCCTGGTAGCCCTAGTGTGCCCTGCAGCCTCATTTTCATCCCAGAACTCCACTCTGCACCTCCTCTCTGCCTAGAGCCAGTGTCTGTAGAAGACAGGGTTATTTGGTCTTCACTTAATTCTCTCCTCAGCCAGATCTGCGTATTAACCTCTAAGAATGAGACCGCTGTGGCTAGGCAGAGGCATATTCTGGATAACCCAAACTGTGTGTCGATTATGGTGGGAACAGAATCTTCCCGTCTTCTCTCACACCTGTAATATTTTAATGTCAGGTTGGTCTTAGCACCCTGATGATATTTTCAGAGTTTGTGGGTATTCATATGAGTTTATTTTGCCAATGAGCTTTAGAATTATTTTCACAGTGTTTCTCCCACCCTAAGCTGGGCACTACTTGGACTGGAGGTTGGCGATGTGTATGGTTCCCTATCCAACAGGAACGCTGGACCTCCACACTCCTGACCCTTGACCTCTGAAGAACACTGTGATAAAACAGGGCGAGGAAGCAGGGAGTCCAGACGGGGTGACTATGAAAGGTAGAGAAACAGCTCAGAAAGCTGAAGGGCGCAGTCCTCCGGTACGCTCAGGAGCAGTGTGGGTAGGGAGCGAGGAGGAGCCTCCCAGGCGCGGATGAGCCGGCAGGAGGAGGGGGAACCCATTCATTAAGTGATTCACTCAGGTCTGCGTTCTGTGTGGGACTCACGCCAGGCCTTACAGGAAGTACAGAGCTGATTCATGTCCCCGTTCTCAAATCCGTGTGTAAACAGTGACAGGAAATGCAGAACAAATAAATGACAGCGACACTTGCTCCTTTAAGGACAGCATGATGAGTCCCCGCAGAATGGCTGTCAGCGGCCTCAGTGTGTGGGAAACAATGAACAGAGCCTGAGCGCACAGCTGAGTAAGGGAGAAATCAAACAATCCGCAAGTTTCTATGAGCTAGGAAGAAAGCGAACTGGCCTGAGATGACAGCAAGGCGTTAGGGCCCCAGGGGAGGCACGGGAAGCTGAGGGGGAGAGGTCAACCCCCACAAAGCCCGGGAGGGCGGCGGACACAGCCGAGTCTGGAACGGCTGTTATATGTGAGGAATTCACAATCAGGTCTGGGATTTACTGATAAATTGGAAGTGGGTGAGGGAATGAGGAGACTCAGAGGTAACCTCAGGAGCGTCGCTCTGAGGAGCTGAAGGGGGCCTGGGGTAGACAGCTTGCTTAGCATGCTCCTGGCACCTGGCACGGGATCCCTCCCCAGCACGCAGAGAAAGAGACGGAGGGGGAGGGGGGAGGGAGAGGCCCAAGAGATGACGTCAGAGGGAGAGGGAAAGCCGGAGGCTGAAGAGATGACGTCACAGTCGGGGGCGGAGTAAGTTTCACGCGGGACGCGCTGAGACGCATCTCAGCAGGATCTCGCCCATCAACTCTAACCCTAAGCACCGCGGGACGGCAGGAGAGCCGGGAGGAAGGTGTCCGAGGCCGCGGCGTGTTGGACGAGCGGCCAGGAGGCCCCTCGCGGTGCTGGGAGGAGGCAGCCGCGCAGCGCGGTCGTTTTGCAGTTTGGGAGCCGGGGAGAGGGCGCCGGTGTCTATCTTCTCAGTGGCGTGTGAAGAAGGAACGCAAGCAGGGTGGGCATGCAAAAAAAAAAAAAAAAAAAAAGAAAGAAAGAAAGAAAGAAAAGGAAGGAAGGAAGAGAGAAAACAAGAAAAAGCGGAGCACAGCACCGTGAGCAGCAGAAGTGGTGAACCTCGAGCGGAGCAGAGCAGCCGCGGAGCCCCGGCCTCTGCGCAGCGTGGGAAGCGGCTGGAAGGCCGGGAGTCGCCTGGGAAGTAACAGAGACAGGGAGGGCCAAGACCACGGAGGGTTTTCGGCAGAAATTATACACTTGTCCACATTCATAGCACAGTTCTCCAGTTTCTTCAGCTTTTTCACTATGTCTCTATTTCTTTCAATTAAATTTTGAAAAGTAAATATTGAAAAATTGTATATTTTTTCCCTCAAGGTACTGGCAAATTCGTGACCTTGCGCTGAGCTACATCCACCGCCCTTTTTATTTTAGTTTTTCTTTTATTTTGAGAGAGGGTCTCATTAACTTGATCAGGGTGGTCTTGAACTTGCAATCCTCTTGCCTCAGCCTCCTCTGCAGTGAGATTACAAGCCTGTACCACCACAGAAGGCTAATCATGTCCTTTTAAAAGGAATTATGCTATCCCTAACCGTACTCCAGAAAGGCTGAGAAGTTTTTAATGCAGCAGAGTTTTATTTGTAAGCCTGTTTCCTCCCTGGCCAGCCACTCTTCGTGTCTTGCTTTCATATATTTTGCTGATTTGATAAGTGTGTAACTGTCACTTAAATTGTTTTACTTTGCTTAATTCTGAACGCTAGTGGTGAAGTTTTTAGGCATGACAGCTCACTATTTACGTTTCCCTCAAGAATCAGGGCATCCATTCTACAGGACTGTCTGTCCCACAATCTTTTGGGACAATAGCTATTTATCTTTTTGATAATAAACTGTAAGCCAGGCGTGGTGGTGTACTCCTTAATCCCAGCCCTTGTTAGGCTGAGGCAGGAGGATTGCCACGAATTCAAGGCTACTCTGGACTACACAGTGAGTTCAAGTCGAGCCTGAACTGCATAATGAGACAGTCTCTAAAACCAAAACCAAACAAAACCAAACAACTAGTTATGTAACCTACATCTTTTATTGTCTCTTTTTAATTTGCATTTTCTGTGCAAAAAAATTTAGGAATTTTAGTTTTCATTAGTTCTATTATTTTGCTCCGTTTTTCCCAGGCAATGTCTCTTCCTGGCCTTGAACGCGCTATTTAACCCGGGCTGGCCTCAGACTCCTAATTCTCTCCTCAGCCTCCGAAGCACTGACATTACAGGTGCACAGATCCTTTCTTGGCTGTTCTATTCTTTTTAAGATAAAATCTTTGTGTCTTAAATACTCAGAAATTTGTCTAGCATGATTGTTGTTCTGTTTTATTTTCAAAGATTTTGAAACTCCTGCCATGAAGGAGGAATCCATGTTAATTTCTCTTTATTCTGGTTTTTGGTTGTCTGCAGAATATTTCTGCAACAGTGAGTCTGTTCCACATTTATGTGTTGTCTCCAGTTTGATGTAAATTAAGTTCTTGTAACAGTGGGATAGTGTCATAATTTGGGGTTTTTGCAAGGAGAACAATATAATACAGGACACATATTTTATAAGATCATTTATAATAGTCAACCAAAGAATCATACACAAGAGAGTGCAGGAAATCTGTCCACACACTAAAGACCAA